GTGGTACGTTCAGTTAACTTACATCATCATCATCATCGCCTTGGCATTTATTGGCAACATCCTCATTTTCGTGGTGATTTGCATCAACCGACGCCTTCACAAAATCGACAACATGTTCATCGCCAATCTAGCCGTCAGTGATTTCCTGTTTACATTGATCGAGACTTCATCGAACACGACCAGGGAGATAAAACGAAACTGGCGCCCACCTCACGACGTGGCTTGCTACGTAATAATAGCTTCAAGTGTCCTTTGCGCGTCAGCTTCTGTTTTTACTCAAACAGCGGTCGCTGTTAATCGATATTTCGCCGTAACGCGACCGTTGCAATACCCGAACCTTGTGAATAGAAAAAGGGTGTTTGTATCGATTGCTTTTATTTGGATTTTTGCAATTTCTTTAGCATCACCGCCTTTGATATGGAGGCCGCTGGCAGTTATTTGCGGGGAGGAAGAATCTTACGTCAAACACATCACTTACGAGATCATTTACATGACCGCCGAGTGGATAGTGATTTTTGTAATCCCATTCTCGATCATGTCTTTTATTTACTTCCGAATATACCGCATTGCCCGAAACCACGCTCAGCGAGTGCGGCCGGGTATATACGAAGAATCTACGACAACCACTCAAGGAAGTGCGAATAATTCTTCGTGCAGGTGTCGTCATATCACGAACCTTAACAGAGAGTTCAAAGCTGCCAAGATGCTTGTAACAATATCTGGCGCTTTCTTGATGTCTTGGTGCCCATTTTTTGTTACATTAACTTTGTGGAAGTTTCAGGATCACGTACAGATTTATCCTAAAGTATTTACAGGATTTCTGTACTTAGTTTATACTTTACCAGCCATTAATCCTGTGATTTATGCATACTGGTGCCAGGATATACGTAATACAGTGAAAAAGCTTTTAACTTGTCGAAAATGAGAAATTTAAGATTGAATGTCAAATACTCTTTTTTCACTACTAGAAAAATTCAATATGGTCACTTTAATTTGGCCTCCGTAGTGCTACAAGAACGTAAGAATTTTAATATCATTGAAACTACTGACAAAGTTAAATCGTTAGACTGCTATTAAATCTATGAGAAAAACAGAAAATAACTAAAGGATCCTCAGTTATAAGCTCAGTTACCCTGTTCCAGGCGTTCATATATTGGAGACTGCATGCAGTGGAGAGCAAAACAAAAAAAGAAGGGGAGGAATTTCCTGCTACTCCAGCCCATCTGAATGCCTGTGATCCTTCATTTATTCACTTGAAGATGTGTCATTTACGTCACTAATCAGTGGCGGATCTAGGGGAGGGGCCAGCCCCTCCTTATTTTTAGACCAAACTGAGGCCCGAAGCCCCTCCCCTCTTATCTGAATATCTGGATCCGCCATTACTAATGTATAGTATTCATCAACATTCGGTCATTACGGTCATGATCGTTATCGTTGTCATTATCGGTCAAGTCCTTATCTACAGGTCTCATCGTTATCGTCGTGTTCGTCTATATCGTGATCGTTATAATCATTGCTACAATGAATGTAACTTAGATAGTGGCTTTTCAGAGTGTAATTATCACATACATAACAAGAAACGTTAGGGTGGAATAATTGGAAAAGCAATTAATAAATAAATGACAACCCGAGTATTTTTTTCTAGTTGGTACCGTTCTTATGGCTTGTTTGTTGTTTGTTGTTTTTGTTTTTAACAATTTCTATACACGCACACAGGGTGAATTTTGAACTTGATAGTCTCTTGAGTAACATTACGCTTAGCAAACAACCAATGAAAAAGCTAAAAGGCTGCATGGGATTATTTGCTTCAATATTGACACATTTTCTCTCGGTAAGCATTTACTTTATTCTTTTAATATTTGATTATACAGAGAAATTATAAGGAAAAAATCATTGCTTGTAGCTAGGGCTTGAAGGCTCAAAAAGGGAATAGTTCATTTATTCAAAGGGAATACTGAAAAAAGAAAACGAGCGAAAGCTAGTGGACACCAGTAGGTAGGCAATTGTTCATAAAACCTAATTCGAGCCTATTTGTCTTGAGCCAATTTATCACGACCCACAACTTATAGCAATCTTAATTTCAACAAAAGAGAGAGAATTATCTCCTGCGATTGCTGCTACATTGCCCCTCCTGGCATGCTTGACATCGACTGGAATCATGTGGCCTCCTTGGCCTGCCACGCCTCCTGTTTTCGTCCATGACGGGTTTTGGAAAACCATAAAAAACCTGAAACGCAGTGGATATCGGTTAGGGGCCAAGATCTTACAAAACAGTAAAATCCAACTACTGGTCTATTATCAATGCTCATCCTCGGAGACCCAGGGGCAGTCAGTCGGGCCGGGTTAAAAGGCGCGACGAAAGTTTTCAAGCATGGGCGGAAGAGCCCCTGGGTACCGACTCTCACCGGACCATTTCCAAACGGTCAAGCGATTGCTGGCTCCTGATTGGGCACAAAAAATGCTTTGTATTATTGTGCCCAATCGGCGAACAGCATCTCCTGAGTTCTTTTCGTGAGTTCGTACACGACGGCTTTTTCAAAATACTGGTAGTCTTTACACCAGAGCCTAAATAAGCTAAGAAATATTTCAAGACAAGTAAATTTTAAATTCTTCAAGTAAAAGAAAGCTTCACACACAACCTATCTTTTTTCTTCAGGTTTTCCCACGTAACGTACTTAAGATTGATTGACATGCTTCGCTTTTCTCAAAGCTTGAAAACCGCAAGTTCGGTTTTTTAAGTCGGTTTTAATAAGATGCAAAGTAAAGTTACTTGAGATTTTGCTTAGGCCGTCACACACGCTTTTTGGTTAAGTAAAACTTAGCAGCTCTCTTACTTAACAGCCTAGTGTAAAGACAACCACTGTCTACACGAAAACTAAAGACGCTTTTCCAAAACTACAAGCTTGAGCTTACAGCAGGTATTCACGCTTGAATCGATCACGCCTTCGTAAATATTAGGGAGTTTAATATGCCACGACAGCTGACAACCACGAAAACGTCGCATGAAGAGTGAACTCACATTTTTTCAGTCTCTATCGTGATTATTCCAACTCACTTACTTTGTCAAATGCAAGCGAACTCTCCTGGAGCTGAATTTCTTTCAACCCGATATCCAAGTTCATAAAGAGAAAGAAGATTTTGTCATTACTTGTTTACGTCCTTCACAAAAGGTGAAATTAGGCATTTTCACGGGGTAGTCGTGCAGTGACGGCAAAGAAATATACAAAAAAGTGTGATGCACGTGCAAAGTTGTTGTTTTGCCTTGTCAGACTTGTCAAGCTATTTCTTTTTTACTTTCTCGTCGCCGCTTCATCTTAAACTTCCTATTATTTACGATACGTTGTGATCCGTCAGAAACAGAATTTTCTCAGTGCAAATTAAATTGCTGCTGCCGATAGCATCCGAAACGTTTTTCGACTCATCGGTAGTTCCTTCGTTTCTGGTTAGGAAAGCTTGGTGAACGAACCGAGCAACTGTGGCGAGATAATAGCCGTCGTGTACGAACTCACGAAAAGAACTCAGGAGATGCTGTTCGCCGATTGGGCACAATAATACGAAGAATTTTTTGTGCCCAATCAGGAACCAGCATTCTCTTGACCGTTTGGAAATGGTCCGGTGAGAGTCAGTACCCAGGGGCTTTTTTTTTCCGCCTCAACTTGAAAACTTTTGTCGCGCCTTTTCTCCAGGCCCGACTGACCGCCCCTGGGTCTCCGAGGATGATCAATGCTGCGTTCTGATTAGTTGAGTTACTGCTAGGCTATATGTTATAGCCCACTAGTAGCGAAAAGCGCCGGCTTTTGGGCGACAAAAAAGATTAAAGTCTAGCTTTAATTAGCTAAAGTTGTTTTGTCTCGATATTTTTTGACCAACTAGCTGCATGGATTTTACTAAAACAATTATTCCTCTAGCACTCATGGCATCTGAGTCAATAGCCCATTCGGCCTTCGGCCTCATGGGCTATTGACTCAGAGCCCATTCGGGCTCGAGGAATAATTGTAAAATAGCCTAAATTTGAAGTGTCAAAAGGAGAAAACCAGGCATCAAATTTTACTGGCTGCTGACGAGTTGCCCCTTGTAAGGGAATCCGGACTCAGGAATCCTGGGCTTCGGATTCCGGAATACAGCGCAAGAAATCCGGAATCCTCCTAAGGATTGGAATCCAGAATCCAAGTTCCACCGACATGGAATCTGGAATTCAGAAACCTCGACGTGGAATCCAGAATGCAAGACTGTCTTGGATTGCTTTTCATGTGGCTAGACTAATAAGGTAGAGAGTAGAACTTATACCCATTAATTAACTCTGACTTCTTTGTCACAGTTTGTTCCCTCCTGTTTAGGACTTGTAAACAACGCGTTCCTATCATATTGAAACAGTTGACAGGTACAAACGTCCAATTGATTAATTCAGTCACAATTTGTGAGATTGCGCACGATCAGAGAGCTCCGAACATAAACTGTAGCGCAACTGTTTTCGTCTTTGTTTTTTTTGCCGGCTTTCAAGAACCAGATCGCTCTAATAACTGTTTCTCCATATATTATAACAACTTTAACTCACATACACATCATATGGCTAGTATATCCTACGGGCAGTAAACGGCCCCAACCTTATCGCGTTGGCTACAAACAGAGGTTATCGGAGCGCGTTCTCTTATGTTGTCGTTTGGTTCTAATATATTTTTAACTTGAAAGACGAGAAGTTAACTTCGTGGAGTAGTCCCTGTCTAGTATCGCCGCCAGTTAACCAAAATAACCACTGATGACTGATTATGATTTTCACCGGCCAGCTTTCAAACTGATCTTAAAAATACTCATGCACAAACCACCAAACCGGGGCTAGAATTAATCAAGAGTATAGCGTCCAGTAAGTATCTAATCTTACGAGCACCCTCAAGATGTAACAGCTTGTAAACATAAAATGCAACCACCAACCTCTCCTATTTTCTTATGAACATTATTCAGGACTTTTTCCACCTCCTCCCTGTACCATTTTGGATTTTGAAACTCTTCATTGTCACATCCCTCAGATATCTTGCACTTCTGACCATACAGCCTAAACCTCAAGGAATCTAAAGGATTGATTGACATGCAGTTTGATAGTATTTGTTATTACGTTTTTCGTTTTGGTAAAACTTGTACCCAGATCTAAGCGGAATAAAGTGAGGTGTAAGATACGTTTTCACTAGTGCAGGTGTGGGAGTACTCTCTGATCTAAGAAATCAAAATTAATAAACCCATTTTAGGGAAAATTCCCTTAAGAGAAAATTCCTCAAGTGATGTGGACCTGAAACAGCCGCATAAGACAAATAAAATGGCGACAAACGGCACAGAGATGGGAAGATCGCAAAAACTGCCACAGGAACGAAGAAAAGTACATATAAAATAGTAAAATATCAACAGCCATAAAGCTTCCTCCTCAATATGCAAAACGACGGGTTTTGAAATTTTGACTAGGGGCAAACATACCCATACCTCCCTCCCAACTTTCCAAGAGGGCCTCATTAATCACTGAATTAAAAGGTCACCATTGGGGAGCCGCCAACTCAACTCGCGGGGGTACTCATAAAAGTTTCATAGGAAAAGGCTCCTTCCCTCTCACCCTTTTATACAATATTTGGCAGGAAAAGGACACCATTCGTATAGCTTCTTCAAAAGGTACCCCTTTCGCATACCTAGTTTAGAAATTTGCTCTCTCTTAAGTTCTGTAAATGCACTGTCCTTTATATATGAATAAATCACAATTCGAGAAAGTTTTCAGACATTTTCACAGCCATAAAATGCAATTGTTAGCCCTTTTGGGCCTTTTTTTACTGACCAAAATGACAGATTTCGCTACCCTTTCAAATACTTCAACTAGTGTAATCCCTACCCTTTCATATACCTGAAGCCTGAAAAAGGTACCCCTTTAGGGCGCAGCCTCCCCTTATAGGCAATTATAGGCAGTACCCTCCCGGGACTGTACATTTCTACAGGTTCGGAATCATAAAATGGTGTTAATTAAAAGAGCATGCATCTCAAACTATATTAAATTCAAAGGTTCCAACAACTCCCAACATTGATGAGAGTTACATGATGCGTAGTTTTCTACTCCGTCACATGATGTTTCGGGTTGTCGGAGTTGCTGCGCAAAGTTTGAAATTGGTCAAACTTTTCGGAGCAAACAACTCCCAACATTTCTTTTGTCCAGTGATCGCCGAAGCGTTGCCCAACAATGTTGAGTCCGTTTGCGCAGCTCTTTCAACATTGCTGGGGCGACGCATGCGCATTACACGTGGTCTCCTTGAACATCTTTCCCGTGTGTCACAGTATTGGTGGGAGTTGCACGCTACCTCTAACACCATCCAACAACTCGCAACATTCTCGGGCCAACACTGTTGGAAGTTTTAGCAACGTTTAGAGAACAAAACAATCTAGTTACATACAAACACTTTCATTCTCGCGGCGGCTCGTTCCTGCTTCTGAATCTCCACTGTCGCCTTGATCTTTCTCTTGCTTTAATTCGGGCTTGTCCCCTATTTTATTGAACCAGAATATAACACGCCCATTCATTGATGTCCAGGAATTGCCGCAGTCGCAGACAAACTTTACCTTGGCGCTGTCTTTAAAGGTTCGCCATCCCTGAGGCATGGGCACGTTAGTTGGCTCCAGTTTCCACTTGTCCGGATTAAAATCCACGAAGATTTGATCAAACGTCTCGTGCCAGTGCTGGGCCATATTTAAATGAGGAGTTTCGTCGTCAAATGAGGATCCCATTTTCTCAATTTCAAATCTTGAATTGTAGGTAATTACAAAAAGAAGGTTGTGAATATCTTTAATGCCTGAATGCAGTAAAAACAACAACAACACACCTAGTCAGTACCAAACAGCGGTTAAAAAAATTCGTTGCAGTTCAAACGACCCCTCGANCGTGTGTCACAGTATTGGTGGGAGTTGCACGCTACCTCTAACACCATCCAACAACTCGCAACATTCTCGGGCCAACACTGTTGGAAGTTTTAGCAACGTTTAGAGAACAAAACAATCTAGTTACATACAAACACTTTCATTCTCGCGGCGGCTCGTTCCTGCTTCTGAATCTCCACTGTCGCCTTGATCTTTCTCTTGCTTTAATTCGGGCTTGTCCCCTATTTTATTGAACCAGAATATAACACGCCCATTCATTGATGTCCAGGAATTGCCGCAGTCGCAGACAAACTTTACCTTGGCGCTGTCTTTAAAGGTTCGCCATCCCTGAGGCATGGGCACGTTAGTTGGCTCCAGTTTCCACTTGTCCGGATTAAAATCCACGAAGATTTGATCAAACGTCTCGTGCCAGTGCTGGGCCATATTTAAATGAGGAGTTTCGTCGTCAAATGAGGATCCCATTTTCTCAATTTCAAATCTTGAATTGTAGGTAATTACAAAAAGAAGGTTGTGAATATCTTTAATGCCTGAATGCAGTAAAAACAACAACAACACACCTAGTCAGTACCAAACAGCGGTTAAAAAAATTCGTTGCAGTTCAAACGACCCCTCGAACTCATTCTCTACACAGAAGCTCATGAAGAAAAGAGAACAGCTCTGGGATCAAGATGTCACCCATTCTCGTTCCCAGTGCCCGTCGTTTCTTATGGTTACGTGGTAAATAAAGCCGAGTGGGTCTGGGGAGGAGAATGGGATATCCCTCTCCTCCACATGCGCATGACGGCTCCTCAGTTACTTTGTATGTTAATCTTTGATCACCGTGAGATTCTTGGAAACTGTTCACCCTCGTTTCCCCTAACATAGCATTTTGCCCTATTAAAAATTGAAAAGTTAGTGTTAACGTGATCAACCCTCTTCCCGATCCTGAGAGTCGCTCTTCGCGTGATAAATTATTTCCTGTTTGCACTTTCGCGGACTCTTGAGTGTCTTGTGAGACAACTACTGAATTTTAACACAAGTGAAAGAAATGACACTGTTCCGTGAAGAACCACGAGCCTGCTCTCAACAGTCGAAGTCTAACCTGTGTTTTTTTCAAATACTATACTTAAAAAGCTCTTCAGCCTAGTTTTTTACTCTATTGACTGCATTGTGTAGTCTCCACTCAGGTTTATGGCTTCATTGTCACTTTATTCAAGTTCGTATAAAACTTGTAAGCGAAAATGATAAAAGCACGATGCTAAGAAAACTGTACGTACATTTCCTGAATTTAGATCGCCAAAATTTAAACAAACAGGTGTTTTCTAACAGAAATGTGATCTTCACTTCTTTGTTCTCGGCGTGTAGACTAATAAACCTAAAGATTTACATTGAATTAAAACAGTAAATAATGGCAATAAAATTAACAACTATAATTAGCAATACCAGAGACATTTCGTTCTCTTCGCAATAAAAATCGATAGAGGCTTTAAATTTAAATGGTTTCTCCGAAATTTAGTTGCTTACCAAGTTCGTGTGTAGCCGTCGATTTCCCCAGTTCACCCGGAAGCCGAAAAACCGTAAGCCCTGCCGTAAGCTTTGTACGCAAAGGTATCTGAGAATTTTCAACAGCTAAAAGGCTCAGACAATTTTTTGGTGGCCGAACTTTAACCTTCAACTAAATCTATACTGTGTTTTGACAGTTATAAACGCTTATGAAGTATCATGTACTAGCCCGTTCGATTTATGATTCGAAAACAGCAGTTTTCTCGGAAGGCAGTCGTTTCCGTATCGTTTCCGAGAAGTGATCGTACACTAGCCTAGTCACGACTCGCCACTGATCATGACTGGCAGTTTCGCGGAAGGCGGCTGTTTCCCACCGTTTTTCAAGAACTGATAAACGCACTGGTCTGTTCAAGTTTACAACGGTTCCCGGAAGACAGCCATTTTGTTCATTTCCGTCGAAATTCCGAGAATCCTCGTTGTCCCCAGTCCCCCGCGCGCTTGGCCTGGGTAACCTGTTGCCCGTTTTGGTGAACTAGTCACATTTGGAATCAAAACAATATGGTAATTTCTTTTGCACCCATGACACCAAGATCGGTCAATTGTACTGTCAAAGCAATCAATGTCAAACATAGCTCCTCTGCTATCTGTATAGCCTGAGAGAACAGCCAACTAGTCTCGCCTGTGCCTTTATTTTGCCTTTGAGTGTTGAGCAATACTGTCAAATATTTGCCTCACTGCAAAATCTACAAAGGGTTCCTCACAAAATCGGAATTTCCGTCCAATCAGGATGCGGCCCATGGTGAGTAATATTTAGTGTTATCGTAAACTATATTCCCATTCCATCGCAAAATTCACGCTTTTTCAGTCGCTAGCCCCCAAAATGAAAATTGAACAAATAGCTGAATGAATGTAACTGTTGTGCGCTGCTCAGTACCGTGTCGGATTTTCGCTGTCGGTTCGGACCGACCGAGCAAAACCCGAACGGTGTTCCTTAAAACAACGATAGAACACATCAAAAATAGTAAGGCTAGCGAGTTGCGGCAACAAATTGCGAGGTAAGCCATACTCTACGAACAAGAAAATTTATTCAATTCAATTAGAACCGAGCCATTTTAGTCTGTCTTCGCAACGACGCTAGTCTGGAGGCCCTCCAGTGGGTAAAAGACAGTCTGAAGTGTCAAGTTTCTTCGCCGCAGGTGATTTTCGCCTTCTCTTTGTTTAGACTGTATTTTTATTATTCATGTATTTAAGCTTCAAAGGAGCGGTATTAAGCACGTGATGGCAGAGAGGCCCCTGTATTTGCATACTAAAAGCCGACAAGTGTCCACCCTGTTGCTCATGTATAATTAAAGCGAAAATTTACCAAGAAAACAAAGATTTGCCAAAGATGAATACATTGGGGCAGTTTAAAAGAGAACTGAACTAAAACAAACAAAACAATTCAGTCAAAACGGTGTAGAATTTACTTGACCTTTCTGTTCCTTGACTGTTTATTTTTTGGGCCAAATTGAAAAACGCTAATATTCTTGCCTTAACCCTTTTACTGCCAAATTTAGCCGAAAGCAAATTTCGACCAAATTTCCAAACTTCATTTTGTGAAATTCTGAAAAACAAATAGCACCATGTGTAAGTACAGGCAGAGAGCTTTCATCGGAATGGTCACATCATAGGATTTGGTCCGCAGAATCAAAAGTTAGAGTCACCTTACAAAACTCCATCAAACACTGGCAGGGTTAATAAACTAACTTATAATTGCAATTTCCTTATTTTTAAATTTTGTCTTTGCAGCCTCTTACAACTGTTCAAGTTCACCATGTAGAATCTTAACTCTTTCACCATGTGTTCTGAGGTAAACAATTTTCGAATTCTTGAGCCGGTATACGCAGTTATAGACCTTGAAACCACTGGGCTCGACAGAAAGGAAGACCGTATCGTTCAAATAGGCGTTGTTAAAGTTAAAAATGATACACTAACACCATGGATGACATATGTGAACCCTTGCAAGAGTGCTGAATCTCAGATGGATGCATTCAGGGTTCATAGGATCTCTCCAGACGCTCTTAAAGACAAACCTACCTTCGCTGAAGTAGCGTCAAAGTTATGCGCATTTTTGCACGACGTTGGATATATCGTGGCGTACAATGCCTTGTTTGACTGGAGTATGTTGGTAGAAGAGTTTAGAAGGCTTGAATCGGAAACTGAAAAGAAAGAAGGCAGTAAGATTCTAGAGATAATCAAATGGCTCGACATGTATCGTTTGGCAATCAAAACGTTGCCTGAGGAAGACGATATGAGGGCTGGTGCTTTATTTAAAAAGTTCTCAATACATGTACGAACTAAACAGATCCAGACCTTTCATTATTTGTATGAGTTGAAATGTGCTAACTCGAGAGAAAAGGAAGAAAAAGATTTTATTTTAACGGAAACAAACGCAACAAATTGGATAGAGGGATTTCACGATGCTATGGGAGATGTACTGGCCACGAATTCACTGCTGAAGGAACTTCTTAAGATGAACGGATATTCAAGCATCGTGGATGTGGCAAAAAACATGCCTTACTGTTTATTAGATACCGAGTTGCTCCTTATTGTAGACAACATGTTACAAGAGAGGAAAACTTCAGACAAAGATTTAAAGGGAATTGCAGGAAAAGCAGGCAAATTTTATGGTACCATGTCTTCACTCAGAGGAAAGACTCTTGCAGAGAGTCCAAGACGAAAAGTACGGGAAGCTTATAATGCTTTGTATCTTCGTGACGAGCGCCGTGACGAGAGAATAGGATTAATTCTCACTGCCGCCTTGTTGTGTGACCGGGACGAATCACGAAAACGGCAATCCACAAATTCGAGTCCTACTTCGGCAGATCAGGAAGCTAAAAAGGTAAAATCAGAATGACCTGACACTCCGGGGTCCTTGAAGAGAGTACAGGACCTCACACCGGGCTAGCTCTCAGAGCTCTATAGCCCAAGCGTTGATTTCATATAGCATTCATCAAAAAGATTTTTTTTTTTATTTAAGTAAAAGTTGCAGGGTCCGTTTTGGTCCACCAATATGGCCGCCGGAAATCAACAAAAACATCTGGAGTTCACTTTTTCAGTAAAAGCTCTTTCTCTTCACTCGAGAACTAACATACGTGCGCATTAACATATCTTCTAACACCTAAAATGGTCATACTGCTGAGAATCAAGAGGAGAGGCTTTTTTTTCAAGGAGACAGCATTCCCATTTTGATGTCACGCACTTTGAAAACTCGGAACTTGACTGAATTGCTGTATTTTCGAAATGAAACATGCTACGGGAATGGAAACGTGTAAAAAATTTACTTTTTGTTTATATCATCAACCTAGTGTAAATAAGAGTTCGTAAAACCTCGCTATTTTGACTTTACAATTTGATGACGTCACTGTGAAAACCATCTATAGAGCTACAATTGTAGTCTCCTAGGCCTTCGCGGCAGTCTTAAGGCTCGTCACGCAAGGCTCCGCCCCACAGGAGAAGCGTTGCGTGACAAGCTTAAAAACTGCTGCGATAGAGACTACTATAGAGCCCATTTGTGTAAAAATCATGTAAGAAAGATGAATAAAGTTAAAGAATTTCACCCACCAACTTCGCATTGCGCGCTCTTATCGCGTGCCGACCGCCAGCTACGCAGGCTATCACGCCTTATGCCTGTAGAGTCGTCTTTTGCCTTTTTGTGCTACCTTGAGTTGCTGGCCCCTCGCGCTCCAGACAAGAAGAAGACAACGACAAGTGGATGCCCTAGTGGCGTTGAAAACTGTAAATATTAGAATATTTTTGGCCAACATATTCACTCAGTATGATCGCAATACATTTCGTTTGCCATATATAAAGTAACACCCTTACCGCTGATTACAAGTCTGGGATACAAAGCACGAGAGAGCACGAGAGAAACAAAAAGTAAGGTGCAGAATTTTCTTCAGTTACAACCATAAAGTAAGTTCATTATCTTTAAGTATTCCCTTCGATTCTGGTGTAAATGTGATTGCAAATGTTTAGGGAATGGCGTAGGAAAATGGCCCAATGTAAGTTTTGTCTTTGGTGCTTTTCGAGCTCTTCATCATCATTCTGCATCCATTCTACACCTGTAAAAAGATTGAATTCAGCTTTTAGCCAATTTCCAGCCATCTGTAGAGGAGCTCTGGGATACATGTATCATGTCATTTTGTACAAGTGCATGGTAGACACAATGTAATCGAGTCACTTTTTTTTAAATTAAAAGTTGAGTTTTAGAGTAAGTCACTCATACATCTACACATCTTGAGGGGGGATGCGGATAAAAAATTTAACGTCCCTTGCGATATGGCTTCCACCAAAAATACATAAAATGAAGGGTTTTGTACTTTTGACTAGATACATGTCTGCCATCCCTAAAAGGGTGTCTTAAATGTCTTGAGTAACCAGCTCAAGTCTCCAGTTGGTGCCTACTTCTGTCCCCTTTTCTTGTGGCTGAATGAAGTGTTTTTATTATTTCAATGGGTGATACTGTGTTTTCTGAAAGAAATGACAGTCCAGTTAAAAATGTAAACATTATTTCTCCTCGGTGTCAGTTCTCTTCTTACACCATTGAGCCCCCCTCCTTTACTCCATCCACCCTGTCCTCTACCGGTGTGCGACAAACACAGACTGCAGACTTGCAGACTGGCAGGTAAACCAGGAAAACCGTGTTGTGGAATGCTTTAACAGAGTCCCTATCCCTAAAGTTTAAGTCATTTAAAAGTCTAGTTTAAGGATAGGGAATCTGTTAGAGCATTAACATTCTGTACTTCTCACTTCTTAGATTTTCCAGTCACTCATAACAGCAATACATAACTATGTACTCAACAACACAGCCAACATATGCAGTTTTAGACCTGGAAACAACAGGATATGACAGAAAGGAAGACCGTATCATCCAAATTGGCATTGTTAAGGTTAGAAATGACATACAGATACCGTGGATGACCTATGTCAACCCTCTCAAGAAGAGAGATTCACAGATGCGCATGTATTCAAGAGTTCACCACATACCTCCAGACCTACTCAATGAGAAACCTACTTTTGCAGATGTGGCAATGCAGTTCTGCACATTCTTAGAAGAGGTTGAATATGTTGTTGCCTATAATGCCATGTTTGATTGGAGTTTGTTGATTGAAGAGTTTGACCGGCTTCCTTCCAACGCTGAGAGATATGAAGGCTTGAGACTTCTAAAGAGGATCAAGTGGATAGACATCTATCGTCTTTCTATAAAAACTTTCCCTGATGTGAAAGACTTAAAAGCTGGTACATTGTTTAACCAGTTCTCTATACGTGCACAAAAGGCTCAAAGCTTTCATTATCAGTTAAGATCGGCTGGTCCACAAGGACAAAATCAAAAGGAATTTACTTTGTCTGAACGAGGCCAAACCAACTGGGTTGATGGACTCCATGACGCATTGTGTGATGCACTGGCCACCAATGCCCTACTGAAAAAACTCTTAGAGATAAATAGGTATTCTAATGTTGAAGCACTAGTGAAATATTTTCCCCAATGTTGCCTAGATACTGATCTGCTTCTGACATTGGAGAAAATGGTCAAACAAGGAAGGACGTCAAATCTTGATTTACTGCCTATTCAAAACAGAGTTGGAGGTTATTATAGTACAATGATGTCACTGCGAGGTAAAACCCTCGCTGAAATTCCAAAGACCAAAATAGAAACAGCTTTGAAGTCTGGCTGTGAGAAAGACAGAAGGATTATTTTGATATACAGGGCTGCAATATTGAATAAACCTGATGACTACAACTATGAAGCTGCAAATTTTAGTCAGCTAGAAGACTCCACTGAAGAAGTCACTAGTACTTTGAATCAGTCAGGAGATGCCACCCAAGGTGCTTCTACTTTGGATAAGCCAGACAGTTCAATGCAAGGAGACACTGTCTTAAGTAAGCCTGAAGATACATCCCAAGGGGCTGCCATTTCAAATAAAAAAGAAGAGTCCCATTTAGGGAATACTGTTCTGAGTATGCCTAAAGATTCAGCCCAAAATGTTATGTCGGTGAATACTCCAGAAGATTCCACACTAAAGCGTCAACTGCCAGATTGTATTTCTGACACTCCGGACTTGAGCCCTAAAAGACCCAAAGAAGACTAGTAAGTTATTATTAGTTATTACTAAAGCTGTCTTCAAAGTGGAAGCTTAAATCTGATGTCAAGAAAAAGAGACGAGACGATAATTATTTAAAACTGTGGAAGACAATACTGCCAGACTAGAATGCAGTGCAGTGGAACCTGTCAATGCAATCAACCATGAAAATGAAAATGAAAATTTGATGTGCTGGTTGTATTAACATGTGAGCACAATTCTTCAAGAAATTCATCAGGCTAGTGAAATTAATATTGATTTAAATGTTCTCAAAACATAGCCAGTCTTAATGTCTTAATGTTGCTGACAGTTTTGATGACTGTCAGCCATCTTTATCAAAACTGGGAAAACTTTAAGTGTCAGAAGCCTTAAATCCACCCCCAAACCAAGGGGGGAGGGGGCGTCTACAGAGTGACTTTTCGCGTTTATCGCAATAATTAAAACCTTCAGAAGCCTATTTAAGGCTTCTGACACTTTTAATGCTTTCCAAGTTTTGATAAAGATGGCTGACAGTCATCGAAACTGTCAACATCATTAAGACGTAAAGACTGGCCATGTTTTGAGAACATTTAAATTGATGTTAGCACGATTTTTCAGATAAGCAAATGAACGTTTTGGCAAAAAAATGTGATCAAAGTGAGATGCATCTACTGTACTACATGTATCACTGTACAACATCCCTATCTGAGTATAATAGGCATAATGAATAAACCTTCACATACATGTATTATCATTATGTTGACAATAGAGGAACATGTCTACAAGAAGGATTATTGTCTTATTACCCATATGTTAAAAATCAAGAGATCCATATCCTGGGTCCTTGGAAGATACTACAGGGATAAATTATTTAAAGGGATATATTTTGTTCAATTTTATGACAGATTTTAAGAAAGGCAGTTTCCTCTCTGACAACAAGGTTCCAAAATGAGGCCGAGCCATCAAGTAATTCTGTTCATAGCAGGACTGTCATTAACAGCCAGGGGCCAGGGATTTCCCCCGGCTACTATGAATGTGGCCCTCAGGTACTTTCAGAGGAAAACAGAAGAAACGTAGCACTTAAAAGAGAATCCCGCCTACTTGTTGTATTTCCCCTGCAACTTGAAATCTTAGTGACATCCCTGTCATAGTAAAACTTGAAGAACAGGGTGACAGGGGGGTGTACTTACATGTAGTTTGAATTCAAAGTTAACATCTGAGTACAGCTTTACAATGTAGTTATTATTCAAGGCGATTGCTTATTTGAGGGTAGAATCTAGGTGTAGCATAAATGTTATGTTCAAGTGATAATTATCACATGCAATTTAGTGTCCAGGATCTTTTGCTACAACATGTACATAATGACCATAACAAGCAGTTCAGGTTCCTGTCTTTTAAAGTCTCTTTTTATTAATTATTATTATTATCTACTTGTAACAGCTCCCAAAATTTATTAATGTATGATGAGTACAGGACATCATAGCAGCTTGTTGAAAGGAAGTCTGGTCTTAATTGAACATTTTGGCCGTAAAAGTTTTACGTTCCGGGGTCCTTAAACTGTCACACACAAAGTTGCCACAACATATTTTGTTCTCTCTGAGGAGTATGAAAACCGAAGCAAAATGAATTTAGGTGCACAAGAATGTGAATGGTGTGTCCATCAATCATATTCCCGCCTTTTTTCTCTCCTTCCTTTTGAAAGCTAGTCACATATGCAATGAAAAAAGTGACAAAGCCTTTTAACTTTTTACAGCAGAACAAATGTAACCCTCATGAGAAAGCAAAGTCATTTCATCCCAGGACAGGCGTGCTTCAGATAAACTCTCAAGCCAATGTTTTAGCATCATACAGTTGTGTAGTTTAACGTTAGTTTAGCCATATATAATATTATTTTCTTGCCTACTGTTTTCCGTTGTTGCCTCACTAGCATAGCTTTTCAAAAATATAAACACCGAGTGTCAAGTAAATACGAAAATTTGAGCTTAGTTCAATGGATTCATTTGATAATTTGGTGTTTTAATAGTTCGAAATTCCATAAATGACCGATCTTATTAAGTTTCTAAAACTTCTGAACTTAAAAAGTGTACATGTATCTTCCATGATACTTGCTACACAAAAAAAAACGTCAAAGTGGTGACCCATTGTTAATGTGAGCAAATAATGGTAACAAAGATTCACCTGACAGTGACACCATGTTGGAATACTCAATTTAATGACAGTGAAGCTTGGTGGTGTGGTTATAGGGTTGCCTATTCCCTGTACGGCGTTTTCCCAGTCCCTCTCGGCCGATTCCACGAATCCGAGGCGAACGGGCGGGAAACATCTTCGCTTGGAGTACGTGACCCGAAACGCTTTGGCCGCGCGGAATAATGAGGCCTAGGGACTAGGCGAGGTAGAGAGGACATCACTGTTTACAAACATTGTTTTTGTCATTTAAATTTGTAGCGAGTGAAACAAAAGAATGTTTTGTTTTCAAGAACCAATGTCTTTCCGGTTGGCACATTAAATGATTATGTCAATAAAATAATTAACAATTATTCCTCGAGCCCGAATGGGCTCTGAGTCGGCCGAATGGGCTACTTGGTAAAAAATATCGGGACAAAACAACTTTAGCCAGTTAAAGCTAGACTTTAATCCTTTTTTGCCGCCAAAAAGCCGGCGCTTATCGCTACTAGTGGGCTATAACATATAGCCTAGTAGTAGCTCAACCAATCAGAACGCAGCATTGATAAGAGACCACAAGTTGGATGTTACTAATAATGATGACAGACCTTCCTCACATTGGCTAAGTCTCTTTTTCAGAGCAATTACCTGGTGCCTGTTGTTTCAAATGAAAATACGTTTACATTCACACACTAATTAAACTCATTTAATTTCTTGTGAACGGTTGTGCACCAGGCCTGGCATGGATAAAGAGGCACGGAGCCACTCGGAATAGTATTATTGTGATTGTTCTGGTGAAGATTATGACAAAATGGTAGTGTTCGTGTAGATTTTGGTGTTGCTGGGACCTGTTGTTATGATGGCAGTGACTGTAAAAATGTGTTGGAAGTAATTGGGAGCTTAATCAACGACCAAGGCGACTGCAACGAGAACTGCAGAAAAGCAACAGGTTTGAATTTGCGAAACGACACTGGCACGTGAATCACGCATTTTTGATGTCGTAATGCACGACTACAACGTGAAACTTCCTAATTTCACGTTTTATGGAGGACTTCAACACAAGAAAAGTTTGAAACAACGCGAATTCACTTTTCAAGTGACGCCTTTTCCACCACTTTTCCCGTCTTTGTTGCTTGAGCTCCCGTATTGTATACTGTAGTCCGATCTTGGTGTCTTCAGTTCTGTAGGTCTGCGGTTCTAGTATATAGCGCGAACAGGCCTGGGCACGAGGCTGGGTTTTCACAAGAGAGGTGGTTTTTAATAGAGTTTTCGAGGTTTTCACGGACAAACTGAATTCCTCCGGACCCTGTGGAACAGGCTAAACGTTTTTATTTTCTCAATGATTTATTGATTAAGGTTTAGTTGACACACCGGATAGCTTTTTGTGTCGACACTCTCTTCTCCGTAGAGGCACCCCTTGGTCTTAAAATAAAAAGTAAAAGTAAGCGCGCGGTAGATGATGGGAACAGGGAAAGATCTCTCTCTCTTTCCTCACTTCCATCATACACAGCGCTCTTTCTTATCTCCCTTCCCTCCCGACGACCCCAAAAAGACCTCCGTTCACCGTTCATATGTGTCAAGAGAGACCCTATCTGGTATGGTTTTCGTGCCGAGATAAACACTTTACAGTATGGCATGGTGGTGTGAACATAACCTAAAGCTAATTCCGAGAAATATCGAAACTGTTTTGATTGGTTGATAACAATAGAGAACCACATGTCAATGTTCAGAATTCACTAACTCAAGACATTTGCATGATATTGGCGTGCCTTTGATTTATCAAGTCTGAATTACGCGTTAAAGATGCCGCTACTGAATTCCTTCGTGATTTGGAACAACAAAGGAGGGGTCGGTAAAACCACGCTAACATTTCACATGTCTACAGAGTACGCAATACGCCATCCCAAGCAAAAAATTTTGGTTATAGATCTTTGCCCGCAAGCGAACGTGTCAATGGCGTTGTTGGCATTATTTGGAACAAAGGAGCTTACAAGAGTCCCAGCAGAAAAATCTATCAGCTCTTACCTACACCAGGTAACAAATTTGAAACCTCTGTCAGTTACAAATCCTGGAGATTTCCTGATAAGAGTACGTGATTTCAACCGCAGTATACCGTCAAATGTTTTTCTGCTCGGAGGCGACGCCGTAAATCTTGAATTGATGGCTCCTTCTCTGGAGCAGAAAAGACAGAAGGAGATCTCAAAAGAGTCGATATTTTGCTACAATCCCTGGGTATACATCACGTCTTGTGTACGTTATTTCATCGAGGGTTTTGAAAATATGAAAGGGGTAGCGACAGATCCTCACAGTGATTGGGTTGTGTTTATCGACACTAACCCTTCGTTCTCCATTTTCACTGAAATGGCCATTGTCGCAGCGCAGCGGTTAATTATTCCAACCAACGCGGATGACTTTTCACGAGAAGCTATCAAAGCTACCCTCTCCTTAGTCTACGGATACACCTCAGATGAAAAACCAGGGAAGTTTTCTGATGAAACAGTAACCTTCAGCGATAAAGCTGCAATGTTCAATGTCCGCCTACCAAAGATCTGTTTGATCATTCAGAATCGATTCACACGGTATAATGGACCAGCCAAAGCATATTCCTTAATGGCCGAAAGTATTTCAGAAGTTGTTTTTTCTGTTTACAAAAGTCATAAACACTTGTTTGAGAAGAAAGGTCTCCCTGAAGATGTAGAAAAAGAATACTGTGCGGTCCTTTGGGATTTCCACACGGTTGGAGTAGTGGCTCTTCACAACGGCCGTCCACTTGAAGATTTTGCCTGCATGGAAATAACAGTCTTCGACCAAGTAGTTTCATTAAAACGGAGCCAAATAGACAAATACAAAGAGTGCTTACAAAAGCTTGTTACTAGACTGTGTCCACAGACATGTTATTGTAAACCAGCACCAGTTAAACTCAACTGTAACAAGCAGTGGTCTCTTCCAATGCGCACATATCCACCACCTTGCCTCCAGGTCCCTCCACCTCCGTATCCACCTCCTCAGTATCAAGCTAATAGTAGGATGCCCATGGGAGCCCCACCTCCTCCTCCTTCATTATGGGGACCTTCACCAACTCCTATTCTCGTCCCACTCGTTCACACAATTTTATTTCAACCAACTTATAATAACGGCATGGGCGGATTTTAGTAGCTGTAACTCTTTACAGTAATACTGTCATAAAGGTGGTTTTAACTATCGAGTCTCTGGACGAAATCCTCAAGTGTGACCTTGAAAATGAAAGAGATTGAGCATTACTTTAACACTGACATAAGACGCCTTATATAAACGCGGGGGGTACTGAACGTTTTACTGTTTTAGTGTTCCTCGAACAACAAATTTTTCTAAACACAATGTAAATTAAGAAAAAAAAATTAAGATTTTAGGTACTAACAATAAAAATACGTATCATCATCAATATTAAACTGAAGGATAAGGAATTTAATCGAAAAAGAACAAATATGTATATATATACAGTGTATCAGGAGCCGGCTCCTGAGTGTATATAATGTACAATCTAAATCTTTAGTCCCTAAACGGGCGATGACGACATTTGACTACACCTACCAGAATTAATTTCGTTTTTGCTTTCTTATTTAGATTGTCAATCCCGCTGAGGTTTAAACAGCAATAGCCCTAATTTGAAAAAGAAAACAACAAACTGAAGGATTCTGGTGGTTGTAGTAAATTAAAGTCATCGTGCAATTGTCCTATTCATTTGTGCGTTACCCCACGTAATTTTTTGTGCTAAACTATTCCAAACTTTCGAGTGCCTGATCGGAAAAACTTCAATCCATGGTCTGTGGTAGACGCTGGACATTTAGTTTTATTCTCCTAAAGTTTCTTCATGTTGACTGTTTTATTCTTAATTCTTTACCGCTTTGTAAACAATCTATTTCTACCCTTATAAATTGCTTTTCTCAAGCGGATAAGGATTTATCATCAAAGTGCTCTGGTGACCCAGTTCCTCAATGATGTTTTGCAGATCTTAGTAAGCTGAAAATTTGGAAACCAAAAGATTCATTCGAATTACATTCAGTGGTGTAAATTTTTCCCTGATTGCTTGTATGCGTGAGTGATCTTTTTACACCTCAATGGGCTGAGGACAAATCAGTCAAGCAGAATGTCGGCAACTTGTGTGTTATTTTTAAGAGCTATCGATGTTTCATAACATTTTTTTTGCATCATGGGTCGTTGATGAGTGCGTGAAACTGGCCGGGGGTAGCCAAATCTCACTCACGCACGGTAAGACTTTGCTTTCTTTTCAAGTCCAATAAACGTCTATTGGACAAGAGCCTATTGGCACCTGATTCGTACCACTGAAAACAGAAACCACTTGAAAAGGAATTTGTTTATGCCCTAATAGTTCGATTTATGGCAGCTGGCATCTAAGGATGACTAGCCTAGCCGCAGTATCAGTACAGCATGGTTTAATCGATGGCCTATAATTAAATGTGCTAGCTGAATGTCTCCAGCTTGTAGAAACGAACTCTCCTTTCTTGTAAAGATTACGCAGATTAATATTGAAATAGTAGTTGACATTCTTGTTGGCTGGTTTAGAGACCACAGATCTAGAAAGAACAGAGTTATGTTCACTGAAAGTAAGTGCAGTGATCTGTGCATACTTTAATTGTATCTCGGGAATTAGTTTCCACGCGCTCTTATTTATTCACACTTGTAACATCTGACCTTCTATATTTTATATTTACATTTATCCGTTTTGTGATTTTAATCTTACTGATGAATAAAGATGATGATGATGATGATGATGATGATTAAATTTCAACCTCAAGAATTATAGTAGTAGTAAATCAGACCTCTGACTATAGGGCCTGTTTCAAACGCCGTGCTACTGCTGTGTGTAGGTGCGGCCAGACTGTGGCACAACTCTAGCATGACTACAGGTATTATTTAATTCAGTTGAACAGATAGATAGCTAGATAGATACCAGTTTCCAAAACACGAAAAATCACTTTTGCTAAGTTATTAAAATAATGTACGTTAAGTTATTAATCATGTTCACACTTTAATAGCATGACTTGGTTTCAAACGTCTTTCTATATAGCCTTGCCGAACTCAGTTCATAAATTATAAATTTTATAATTTATGAACTACTCCGGCACGCACGGCAATAGCAAGACGCTTGAAACCGAGTGGTGCTATTAAAGTGTGACTCTGCCCTCCTACACGGAAACTTAAAGTAAGAAAAGGTCACATTAAGTATGAAAAATTGACTTGAAATGAGACAGTTCGGTTTACTTAAGGATCTAGTTTTTTCTAGAAGTATCAGCTCAAAGGTCAATTGCACCATTTTCTGAGAAAAAGCGGAAGGGCCCGCTTGGTAAGATCATAGTAGTGTCCTTCGCACGTCTTCTATTAGTTTGGAACCACGAAGAGGGCAATGCCTATTATCTTTTGTAGTTTGATTGTAACTGTATCTACCCATTTCTATCATTAGTTCGTGATCAGGTGATTGCTTATTCGGAGTTTCAATAAAGCCCTTCTTCCAGCTGTTCCTCTTGTGAAAGAAGTGTGTCAGTAGAGTATTTGTATGTCAAAATTCACAAAGGCTCATGCCCATTATGAGATCATAGCTAGGAATTCATCCACGAATGGCACAAACAATTTTTTTTTTTTCACATGATACAGCATTCCCTTGGTGGGTAAGATACTGGTAACAAATTTCTTTCCAGTTTGTTTTCCAAGAAAGCTGGAAGAAGACTCCTTTAAACAAAAGACAAGTGATTCAGGTCTATTGCTGGTTTCACGTGACGTCACGGTGGCTTTGTTGGCGGTCAAGAACAAATTAGCATTTCTCCCGTCTGGGAACTAAACTCTATTTCCACGTAGATTCCTCGTGAGAAAAAATTATCGTTTTTACCCCCAACAGAGCCGCCTTGTCACGTGGTTGCAAACCAAGTATATTTCCCTCTTGTCTTCCTCGCAAATTGTGAAGAAAGCATAAGCTATAAATTCTTGGAAAATTCAGCAAATAGGCAAGACTGTAAGTATAGCATCATTTTAAGGACCGCTTTAGTTGATAATCTACTGAGCTAAATAACATACACTTTATACTATAACCTTAGTATTGCTCCCATCTCGTTTAGCATATTTAGTTTATTTAGTGGCGGCGCAAGTGCAGGCACACCAAAAGCACAAGCTTAACGCAAGAGACCAGCAGTCCCAACTGATAAGCATGCTGAGGCCAGTTCAACGACTGTATTATCGATCATAAGCGTCAGGACAATAAAAATCGTCGAGAATTGGGTCGATATTCGAAAATTTTGCTCCCGAAATGTTTCCGACTTTTAGCTTTAAAATATTTGTATGTCCAATCCCCGAAAACAGAAAACCGTGTTTAGTATATCTTCAATTTTTAACAGTTTGCCAGGTCCATTTCCACCTTGGTATTGTAATTGTTATCGGTATGTAACGGTTATTCTGGGCGCGATCCATTCAACCAAAATTTCCGGAAAGTTCGGTCCAAAACTCAATGGATCGGTTCGGTCCAACCGAAAATTTTTCGAAAAACCTGGTCCATCTTTTGAGGTGGACTTTTCCCGGTCGGACCGGTCTGAATTTTGGTTGAATGGATTGCGCCCAGACATGTCGACAAATTAAGGTATTAGAACTATCACAGGAAAAAATAACAGATTCCCATTTTTGGATATTTTAGGGTATTTAAAGAATACCCACAAAAATCCCTAATTTGGAAGAGTGAGACAAGTCCCAGTCAGGGAACTTGGTTGGGAATTCCCTGGTTGGGACTTGTCTCACTTTGCCAAATTTGGGATTTTTATGGGTATTCTTTAAATACCCTAAAATATCCAAAAATGGGAATCCGTTATTTTTTCCTGTGATATATTATAACGTCAAAAATGATCATGCTTATAGAATCGCCTATTTGAAATGTACGCTTAACCTGAACTCAAATTACAAGAATGAAGCATTTTCGTTGAATAGAATCCGATAAAATGAAGGCCAATGTGAAAATATTAAGGTCGGTACACACTAGACGACAAGTTGCTGCAACACGTCGCGGCGACAGATCACTCCGTGTGTACAGGTCGGCGACTAGTTGCAGCCACAAGGTGAGGCGACACGTCGCAGCGACAAATCGCTTCGTGTGTACTGGAAAATTTTTGTGAAAATCTTTGTCTCCGCAACAGAATTTTGTCGCTGCAACAAGTCGCAAAAAATCAAATCAGACTGAATCTGTGTTACTTGTTGCGGCGACAAATTCTGTNTTTAAATATTTGTATGTCCAATCCCCGAAAACAGAAAACCGTGTTTAGTATATCTTCAATTTTTAACAGTTTGCCAGGTCCATTTCCACCTTGGTATTGTAATTGTTATCGGTATGTAACGGTTATTCTGGGCGCGATCCATTCAACCAAAATTTCCGGAAAGTTCGGTCCAAAACTCAATGGATCGGTTCGGTCCAACCGAAAATTTTTCGAAAAACCTGGTCCATCTTTTGAGGTGGACTTTTCCCGGTCGGACCGGTCTGAATTTTGGTTGAATGGATTGCGCCCAGACATGTCGACAAATTAAGGTATTAGAACTATCACAGGAAAAAATAACAGATTCCCATTTTTGGATATTTTAGGGTATTTAAAGAATACCCACAAAAATCCCAAATTTGGAAGAGTGAGACAAGTCCCAATCAGGGAACTTGGTTGGGAATTCCCTGGTTGGGACTTGTCTCACTTTGCCAAATTTGGGATTTTTATGGGTATTCTTTAAATACCCTAAAATATCCAAAAATGGGAATCCGTTATTTTTTCCTGTGATATATTATAACGTCAAAAATGATCATGCTTATAGAATCGCCTATTTGAAATGTACGCTTAACCTGAACTCAAATTACAAGAATGAAGCATTTTCGTTGAATAGAATCCGATAAAATGAAGGCCAATGTGAAAATATTAAGGTCGGTACACACTAGACGACAAGTTGCTGCAACACGTCGCGGCGACAGATCACTCCGTGTGTACAGGTCGGCGACTAGTTGCAGCCACAAGGTGAGGCGACACGTCGCAGCGACAAATCGCTTCGTGTGTACTGGAAAATTTTTGTGAAAATCTTTGTCTCCGCGACAGAATTTTGTCGCTGCAACAAGTCGCAAAAAATCAAATCAGACTGAATCT